ACTTTAGCTTAAGTAGCAGCCCTAGAGCTTCCTAGCAATTCCCCTGCCTCAGCTTTTGTTCTCCCTGTAGGAGTGCCACTGCATCTGGCATGCTCCCCCACCTCCCCCAGACAGGATTTCTCTGGCCATTCAGGAACTCGCTCTGTAGACTGGCCTGGCCTGCTATTGCTCCCGGGTGTTGGGATTAAAAGCATGTGCCACCACTGCCTGGCCCTGAACCTGGCTTTTTATTCACTTGGGTTGCTAGGACCGAACTCTGGCTATGGGCTATCAGACTCTGCTGGGCAGGGTACCTTAGCTACCTCTTTTCTTTGCTTGGCCATCTCCCTGGCCCTCACATTATCTGCTACTAGACAGTGTTTGTGTATACTTCCAAGACATTTCAGTCAAGTCAGACACAGCCCTGGTATACTCTAACATGAATACGTTTGTCACATTTACAGTCAAAGCTCAAAGCCTTGGTTGGTTGCCAGGGCCCAGCCTTCTTTCAAGGAACTATACTGACATTGTATGCTCCTGAGTGTTGTATTCAGAAATATTTAGAATTTGAAGGTTGTTTTCTATTTTTTACCCAAGATCAAGAAAGGGCAGGTTTGGCCAGGCAGTGGTGGCGCACGCCTTTAATCCCAGCACTTGGGAGGCAGAGGCAGGCAGATCTCTGTGAGTTCGAGACCAGCCTGGTCTACAAGAGCTAGTTCCAGGACAGGAACCAAAACCACAGAGAAACCGTCTCGAAAAACCAAAAAAAAAAAAAAAAAAAAAAGGCGTTTGTTGTGACCGTAATTATTTTCAAGTGGCTTGCAGTCTTTTACTTTGAAATAGAGTAGCCCAGACTGGCTTTGAACTCAAAATCTGTCTCCTACTCATAAATACTAGGATTAGAGACATGTACCACCATGCCCAGCTTGCTTGCATTTGGAAGTGTGGATGGTGTCTTTCATCTGTTTTAAGAGTACAATTAGTTAGCATTTTGGTTATACATGAGCATGGATTCCACCCAACAGGCAAATTTGGTTATCGGTTTCAATAATTAAGAATGCATTCCAACACTCACTGCTAATAGCATCTTTATTACCAGAGGAAAAAGCATAAACCTTAAATCTTTTTTTCATGCTGTAGTTTGCGTTTACGAAGTGATACAGCACACCATCTCCAGACCCTGGAGTTCTAAATCACTATGCCATGCTGCTGTCTCACAGTGCTCTCAGGAGCCATGTCTAATAGGACAGGGCTTTGAAGGCTTCCTGTTTCCTCTCCTCCCTTGGGGATCTGCTTCTCCTCTGTGGGCTGCTGCTCCGATTATGCCTTTCCCATTCCCAGATGGCCAATTATAACTATATTGCACTGTTCACTCCATGGTTCTGTGCCTCAAGTGCTACCAAGCTAGTTCCTCAGCTTCCCCTAACTGTTCTAACTTGAGAAAACCAGACCTTCTAGACCCAGTACCTCCCTTGTTCTTAGTAACAAACTTTTGAAAGGTAGCCCTAGCTCTTAGTTTCATATTCAAGGAATTGAAATAAAGGCTCACAGGTTAGAAAAATTGCAAGGCAACTTTATTCAAGCAAAGCAACAGTACGGATCACAAGTAGATTTCCAAGAGCAAAAATGGGAGTCCTGCAGAGACAACTCAGACTGTTCACTGTGCAGATATAAGGACAGAGTTTGAATGACTAGTACCTACATTAAAAACAAGAGAAACAGCTGGTAACGATGGCTTACAACTTTAATCCCAGCACTAGGAACAGAGATAGGAGAATCTCTGAGTTGAGGCTATCCAGGTTTGCATAGAGGCTCTAGGGTAGCCAGGACTACAAAGGGAGACCCTGTCTCATAAAACCATGAGCTCTCCTGTCAGCCAGTTTAGCTAAAATAGGCAGTTTCTGGTTTAGTGAAGATCCTGTGGAGAATAGAGTAATACAGTACAGATAAGGGCTGGTTACTAAGAGGTAGGGTCTGGGTGGTTTTCTACTTTGACAGGTTTGTCATATATAACCATCTCTCTAGAGTGTAAGATCTTTTCCATAACAGACGTGATTCTGACCACTGCCATGCTCAGCTATGCAGATGGTAAGCACAGACCTCTCCCTAAAACTTCACTTAGGGAGGTGCCTTATAGCACATAAGACCCAGACCATGAGGGAAGAATCTTACTACATTGTTCAGAATGGGGTACATGAGCAGTTGTGTTATGGGTTAACCACATGTCCATGCCTAGCACAAACCAACTGGAGTCCCAAGTTGCTAATTACTCACTTTGCCTGCCTCACTGGGATTTTTAGTTATTTCCTGTGTATGCTTTCACTGTGTAGCCCTGGCTGTCCAGCAACTTGCAGATAAGGAATTCACTATACTCAGACTGTGAAAAAACTATCCTATTTTAATATCTAGTAAAAACCACTTCAGAGAAACTGTAAAGTGTCTTCCACAGAACTGCTTTGGCAGGGAGCTACAGTATTCCCTCTAGGTAAGGGTGTGGCTGTCTTGACAAAAATAAAGCTAGTATTTTTAGTTCAATTTGAGTGGATAGTCCAGTAAGACAAGAAGATACAGCGGAGCTCAAGGTTGCTGGCCACACAGAAGCAACTTTTGATCAAGACTGAGGCAGAAAATGGGAGAATTATGGGCTGGTGAGATCATATAGGTACACGTCACCAAACGTTTGAATTTCTTCCTTTGAACATAATTGGTAGGACCAACTCTTACTTGACCTGACCCTTCATATGCCCCCCACACATAGGACAAATAAGAGAGAACTCGGGTAGGGAGACAGTTCAGAGGTCATCTCAGTAAAGCTGAAGCCTGCCTTGGTCACTTAGCATGTACCAGGCCAACTTTGATTTCCTTCTCCAGATTTAAGTAGCAGGAAAAAATTTCTAGAGACATGGTTTCACACAGTCCAGAATGGCCTAATTCCCTAGTTTCTCTTGCCTTTCATCATCCCAAATGCTAAGATCACAGGTCTATCAACACTCTCATTTATAAACATAAAAATTTTTTAACATTTTTGCAAAATTCTGAACAGTAATAAAATGTGATTTCAGCTTGTTAATAATAGCTGAACACAGTCAGGCATAGTGGTTCATGCCTTTAATACCTGCACTAGATAGTCAAATCTGTTGGGTTACAGGCCAGCCCTGGGCAAAGCGAGACCCTGCTTCACAAAAATCAGATCATAAAACTGGGCATGCTGGCTCTATTACCCCAGCACTTGACGTAGTACAAGTTAGCTAAGGCTTGGGGGGGGGGGGGGACGACGACATTCAACACTAAATCTACAAATTGAGTCCCAAGCTACTTATGACTTGGAGACCTTGTATTTAACAAAAAGGAAAAAAAAAGGCTACATTGCCAAGTTCTCTAGCCACTTATTTCTGATCAAAACTCCATTTAGATCCAGCTGTGCAACCTGGGAATCACAGGCTACATGCACCCCATAAGCTATGAAAGAAACCCAACATTGGGTAGCGTCACAATTCAAGACTTATGTTCCAAGTTAGACATACCAAACATAAAAACTAGACCAGGCGGTGGTGCAAGCAGATCTGAAGATGAAGCCAGCCTGGTCTACACAGAGAAACTGTTTTTAGAAACACCAAACCAGGGGCTGGAGAGGATGGCTCAGAGCACTGGCTGCCCTTCCAGAAGTCCTGAGTTCAATACCCAACAACCATATGGTGGCTCACAACCTGTAATTTGATCCGTATTCCCTATTCTCAGAACACTGTATACACAATAAGTTAAAAAAAAAAAAAAACCCAAACCCAAAGCGGTGAAACTGAATCTAGATGCACTCTACCCTCAATTGAGCAGCCTCATCATTGCCTAGTTTTCCCCAAACCTATTGCACACAACACCACAGGCCATTAGTTCAGAGATGAACTTACCTTAACAGGGCTTTTCTTCTAGCACCTCCTTGGGGCTTTGTGCTATCTTTTTCATCTCTAGACCCACTCAAGTCCAGATACCCAGTTTAACTCCCACCTGTCTCAATGTCTGACCATCCCTTGTTAGAATTTATGTGTTTCAACCATTAGCAACCATACAGTACACCATAATCTTTTTTTTCTTTTTCTTGGTTTTTTGAGACAGGGTTTCTCTGTGGCTTTGGAGCCTGTCCTGGAACTAGCTCTGTAGACCAGGCTGGTCTCGAACTCACAGAGATCCGCCTGCCTCTGCCTCCCGAGTGCTGGGATTAAAGGCGTGCGCCACCACCGCCCGGCAGTATACCATAATCTTAACAAGCCCACAGGCCAAGAGTTCAACCACGATGAACCGTACATTGTCAAAAACAATTTCATGCCCTTGAATTTGGCACCTTTGAGTAGTCTCATGTACTGCGAAAAAGTCCGACCAACACCTAGATTAACAATTTACAAGTAAACAGCACTTGTCTCCAAGAGCTGAGAATAAAGGCAAACACCATCTTGCTTGGTCTAAGTACATGTTAAAATCTGAAACTTCAGGAATCAAGAGCTCAAAAGAAGGGTTAGGACAGATGGCCCCTATCCATGAGGGCTTTGCTCAGAAATTTCAGTCCCATTTAGATTGCAAGCACCTTAATACACCCTAAGCACGGTAGGGATTGATAATTTAGGCTGCATAGCTGTGGTATTTTACATAACCATTCCAGTTAACAGTCATCTTCCCTAGCAAGCCTCCTCACTCAACCCACCACTTCCTGTGTCCCCAGGTTCAGATTCTCTTTCCCAGCCCCTACTTCAGCCCCATAGGAACTAACCTTATGCTACTAAAATTCAAAGCAATCACAAAATCCAACACTGAATTGACATTAAAATACCTTAGCACACCACACATAATTTTGGAAACCAGAACGTTTATTTTATGACAGATCGAAATCCTCAAGATGAACTGGATGCTGCAACAGCTGCCCTCTTGGGTTTAGGGGTTGTCCCTTCACGGAATCCATGCCTGTGCCAGGTTAAAAAAAAATGTTAATGCAGCAACATCAACATCATTTCCAATTTGTTTAAACCTTAATAAGCTTATCTCAGTTAAAATGCTGAAATCAATATAGCATTCATAAGTTCAGACATTTATTTTTAGAACATCACTGATAAGCCATCATTCACTCCACTTAAGATACCCCACATCACATTACAACAAACTGATTCAAACAAAAAGGCCCAACAATTTTAGGCTCATTTCCCCAATTTTCAAAAGAATCAAGGTCCTTATGGTCTAAAGGACAGGCTCCAATCTTTCCTTAGTGATGGAAGAGAACGACCAGATGAACAGCATCCTTGAAGCTGCTCAACCAAGACTAAATTCTTTTTTTTTTTCAAGACAGGGTTTCTCTGTGGCTTTGGAGCCTGTCCTGAAACTAGCTCTTGTTAAGACCAGGCTGGCCTGAATTTTAGAGATCCGCCTGCCTCTGTCTGGGATTAAAGGCGTGCCCCACCACCGCCTGGCTCCAAGACTGGCTCCAAGACTGAATTGTTATCAACACTCACACCTACTCTAGGAACCTCATTTCATTAATGTGAGCCATCTGAAGCGCAAAACACCAACAAACCATTACACATAAAGTTACAACTCCATGCAGTATAAACTCAAACACAAGGAATTGTTTATGTTCTCTTGCTTGCTGCCTTGTGACCCTCAAGTCAGGTCCTACAGCAGACTGTAGCCAGAAGCCCCCATCACCTAAACCTCACTTTCCCTATGGGCAATCCCTACATCATGGACGAGCAGCAAGGCAAGCAGGGCTGGCTTCCATACAGATTCTGAAACAAAGTCTAAGATGGGGCAGAACCAAAAAAAAAAAAAAAAAAAAAAAAAAAAAAAAAAAAAAAAACCAACAAAACCCCTATCTAGGGCTAGCACCCAGAAGAGGTCTAGGTAGCAGAGGCAGCCTAGGTAGTGTGAGGCCAGCCTGGTCTACAAGAGCTAGTTCCAGGACAGGCTTCAAAGCTGCAGAGAAACCCTGTCTCGAAAAACCAAAGAGTTAACCAAGTAAGTAGCCTTCGGGACCCCATTCGTAGAACAAGTCTTGACAAATCCGGGTGGTTCACAGATACACTCTAAAGGGGAAAAAACCAGCCGGGCGGTGGTGGTGCACGCCTTTAATCCCAGCACTCGGGAGGCAGAGGCAGGCGGATCTCTGTGAGTTCGAGACCAGCCTGGTCTACAGAGCTAGTTCCAGGACAGGCTCCAAAGCCACAGAGAAACCCTGTCTTGAAAAACAATAAATAAATAAAGGGGGAAAAAAACCAAACCCAAACAGGCCACAGTATTATTCCCACTACTCATCAGTGGAAAGTTACAGGACTCTTATCCCACCCTCCAGAGCCAATGGTATCGAAACAAAAACTGTACCTGAATCTTCGGTAGACAATTTTTAGGTGCCTCATCCGCCCAGTCCCGGTAGTGTTTCGTCTCTTAGCCTTGGCACTCCAGTTATCTAAGAAAACACGATTCCAAAGGGTTTTCTCAAGTACCCAATTTTCTCAGAAGTGTCTTTACAATGCTTCACCGAGCTTCACCAACCACCAAAGTTCTCTCTGTACCAACCACCACGCACCCAGTAAGGGGTTCTGTAGCCTACCTCAGCTCAAGGCATAACCGGCCAAAAGATCAGGGCACTTACACTTTCTCTTGCGCTTGGCAGGGTAGCCGCATTTGCCACAGGTAGACTTCTGAAGGTGGTAGGCCTTAGAGCCACAGCGGCGGCACAGCGTGTGCGTCTTGTTGCGACGCTTTCCGAAGGATGACGTTCCTTTCGTCTGCACGGTAAAAGCATTTATAAGCAATTTTAAAGACTACTTTCCGACGTACTCTGGCATTTTCACGAGAAATGACTGCTAACGCGATGTAACAAGTACATGAGGCAAAGCATTAAATTCTTCCTACGAAAATTTCTAAAAAACTACTGCCGGTAACTCACACGATCTGAAAGGGCGTCAGCGCGTTTGCAATCTCCTTGATTTTAAGTGTTAAGGGTTTAGAGCAAAGAAGGTGCCCGCCTCCTATTCCGAGCTCCAGGGAAGAAACACCTCCGGTTTCTCGGTGTTTAGAGCCGAATGTCTCCAAACCCGTCCTGGGTATCTCCCCGGGGGCAACACCGCGCACGATTCCTCCAAAGCTCGGAGACCCACGGCGGCGCTGGGACCGCAGGCTCGGCCCGCCACGGAGCGGCCGTTCCCCTGGCTCCTGCGGGCCACCGCGCGCACCCCGTCCTGGCCCAACAGTTCCCCTTATTGGGAATCTCGTCCCCCACGCACCGGCAGCAGGCGGGGCAGCCCGGGGAGGAAGGATGGAAAGAGATTAACAGAGCCCGAGTACCGCACTCACCATCTTGCTTCTGCCGCCGAGGCCAAAGAGACCGGAAGAGAAAGCACTCCCGTTACTTCCTGTGGATAAGCTTCCGCCCGGCGAACTACTTCCGGCGTCCGAGGTGCAGCACTCTTAAGGCTCCCGGCGCAGTGGTGTGGTTGGGACCCTGAGAGTCGGAGAGCCAAACGAGCGCCCGCGCCGGTAGGGGGCGTGGCTGGCGCGTCCGACCCCGCCCCCTCGAGCGCCTGAGGCTCGCCCGCCCCCCCCCGAGAGGCGGCGTCCACAGCCGCCCCTGACGAACTGTTTGCAGTTCTTCCGCTGCTGTCCCTGGCCGCTGCAGCTTTTGCAGTCTTTGTCCTTTTGCAGCCGTGCCAGGAAACGTCAGCGTTTGCAGTCTGGTCTGGGCCCGCGGCGTGGAATCCGGTCGTGGGGCTCGAGGGCGGTCGGACTCTCTGCGTGACAGTGCCGCTGGCTGTGTATGCTGCTGGGACTAGGATCCCGAGGCTGGAAAGCCAGCTTCCCAGGTTCGTCTTCCCTGGGACGCTCGCTAACACCCCGACCCCACTCTCCTCAACGCCCCCTCAAGGGTAGGATCTTTGTCTCTAACTCGTTTTCGTGCAAAAGTAATTACAGAGGCAAATTGTCTGATCCCATACAAGGAATCGCACATAGAACTCGTTAAATAACAGTTTCCAGCGCTCTGCCATCAGGAAATCTGATCCTTTCAGGTTTGGTACAGCTTGGAAGTCTGTAGTGTAAAAATCTTCTCTAGATCGTTTTGAAATTAGTAACTCGAGATTTGCTTGATAAACTCTAATACGTCTGTGGTTCTCAACCTCTTCCAGTACAAAACTTGAAGATTATATACAAACATTTGTGAACGGGGGAATAATCTCGGCCATATCATCTACGTACTTTCTTCATCCACGTACTTTCTAAAACAAATGTGACAATTACTGGTCTATCATCTTAGTTATTAACATCTTAGTTAATTGACAGCAGAACAAGGTGAACACTCAGGAATCAGAAGGGCTTTTTATTTGTTTGTTTATTTATTTTGCGTGTTAGCAAATAGGACTTAAGTACCAGTCTCTTCTAGGGGCAGGGAGTAGAAATGAAAAACTGAGGCAGTCTACAAGTGGAGGACGGATGAGATACGGCGAACCCAAGAGAAGGAAAAACAACCGTTTAAGTTGTTTTCCTGAACATAAATAAGTCTCAGGAGATTGTATGACAAGTTGCTACAAATTTAGTGGCATGAAGTAAGCTAGATTTAGTAAATGGGAACCACTCCTCTAGAGGTTGCCCCAGACTCTAATTGCTGTCTCCCATCTTGCTGGAATAATAACCCAGCTCATATTGTGTTACTGTATTCTCCTTCCTTCTGCGTTTAAGGCCCCTTGTAAGGATTACATCCACCCACACCCCACTCCATCTCAAGGTGAGCTAATCTGAAACCTCAATGCTATCTGCAAGCTCGTAACCTTAAAATACTCATGAGTACGAAAACAACTATTTTGGATGGGGTCATCTACATCATTGGCCGTGATAAATATGAATTGTGAAGAAAGAGTGAATGCGTATTAACCACCAAGGAGCCCAGCTCCGAGAGGGCTGTCAGTGCCTTTCCCCCAAGACACGCCTAGACCCGAGGACATCAGACAGTGAGATGTGTTTTTCTTCTCCATAATGTGAGGTACTTCTTTTTGGTGTGCTGGAGACCTGAAATTTATGCTCCAGAGGCCTAGGACGTCCCTTAGACTTTCCAGCTGTCTACTCAATAGCTAGGTTTAGGTAGGTCAGCAGCAGCAGCAGCTCAACATTAATTTTTCTTGTTTTCCTTTTCATTTTTAAGGTTGGGTCTATGCTGCCCAGGCTGGTGTCAAACCCCTGAGGTCAAGTGATCCTCCTGCCCCAGCCTCCCAGGTGCTGACAGGTAGTGCGGACACATGCAGTTAGGCCAGTTTCTGAAACAGCCGTTCTGTGTGGTTGAGACAGGTTCTCTGGAGCATCGGCTGGCCTGGAACTCGCTATGTAGACCATGCTGGCTGACACCTCAGAGACCTGTATGCCTCTGCTTTGGGTGCCATGGGGTTAAAGGAGTGAGCCACCATGCCCAGCTTTAGACTGATACCTTCAGCCTAGGTGCTCACCCTCTAGCGCTTTGCTTTCGTCACCTGTTGAGACCATGTTAATCCTGAATTTAAGATCCTGATAAAAAAAATCAGGTTTTGGCTCTTAACCACTTAGTGGTTAAGAGCACTGACTGCTCTTCCAGAGGACCAACGTTCAATTCCCAGCACCCACATGGCAGCTCACAACTGTCTGAAGATCCAGTTGCAGGGGATCTGACACCTTCACACCAATGCACATAAAAAATAAAGTTAAATAAACCATAAAAAAATATTTAAAAAAAATCAGGTTTTGGCCACTAACAATTGGTGGTAGATCAGTTTTTATTTTCTTTTTCCTCCCCTCCTCCTCCTTCTTTTTTCTTTTTGGTGAAATACATTTTTTATTGAAAAATATTTTCATGTAATATTTGATCATGCTTTTTCCCTCCCCCAGTTCCTCCCATATTCTCAACTCCCTACCGTTCCAACCTTATATCTTTTTTCTCCCTTTATTTTAAAAAAATACAAACAAAAAAGAAATATAATCCCTACCCCCCACTAAAAATAAAATCAAAATGAAATTCAAACAGGCAAAAGAACAGTAAGTCAAAAATTGTCATCTCCTGGGCATGGGGCCTGCCCTGGAGTGTTGATGGACCCAGTGTCACTCATTG